TTTGTGTTCACTATGAATCCTTTAGAGCCAAGACATTGTAGTTACAATGAGAGAACACCATTTCAATTTCTGCCACTCTAATCACAATTCCGCTTTGAGCACCATTGTTCTTGATAAGATGCCATCCCTCACAGTTCCGCAGACTGAGAAGGAAAAGGGGACTAATGGCATTCTTTACTGTTGCAGGAGAGTTTGGAGAAGTGTACAAGGGACGTTTGAAACTGCCAGGCAAGAGGGAGATCTCAGTGGCCATCAAGACGCTGAAGGCAGGCTACTCGGAGAAGCAGCGCCGGGACTTCCTGAGCGAGGCAAGCATCATGGGCCAGTTCGACCACCCCAACATCATCCGCCTGGAGGGCGTGGTCACCAAGAGCCGGCCCGTTATGATCGTCACTGAGTTCATGGAGAATGGGGCTCTGGATTCTTTCCTCAGGGTAAGGGCGGCTCAGGGACATGGATGGACACAGGAGTATGGTGGCTGGGGAGAAGGGTCCTAGGCACTGCAGATCTTAGCTGATATTTGTTGCTAAAAGAAGATAACAAGCAGAGCTGTGGGCTTCTTGGGAGGAGGATGGGATGGAATAGGGCCTTGATAAATTCTAGCTTGGTGGATGAAATGAATAGAGAGGGGCAGTCTCTTCACAGAGATTGGGCAGACTTTCGACATAGCAGACACCGACACAGCCACCTCCCAGCCAGCTCTCTTCATATGTGGCTTTGGAGATAGAGCAGGCTGCCTTTTTCTGACATCCAGGTCACCTCACCTCTGAGGATGCACTTCTGGGAAGGGAAGGGGAGGAACATGTAACAAGTATCGCGGTTCTTTTCCGGGCTTGAAGACTCCCAGCTGACCTGAAGCCGAGGTGGGATAGCTGAGGGTCTTTGGCTGGGAGACCTACAGAAAACCATCGTCAGAACATGCTCCAAATGGAGCAGGCCCACCATGGAGCCACTTTTGTTTCTGTAGGAGATCACAGAATCACTTTGAGGTGGCCAGGATGCTGGTGTCTGGGCAGTGGGAGCTGACGGCATAGGCTTGGAAGAGGGACCTGCAGCTGACCAGGTGGCTCAGCTGGGGATGGTGGGGGGGAAGCCTGAGAGCACAGGGTGCAGTGGGCAGCATCAAAGAAGGACCTTCTAAGCATAGACTTCAGGGTGATGTCTGGTGACAGGCTACACATGTCGCCATCACTGTGGCTGCAGATCAAACAGCCTTTCCTATAGTCGGTCACTGAAGTGTTGATGGGGCACCTCTCCAGCCAGGTGCTGTGCTAGATGCGGGGCCTATAGAGATGAAAGAAATCTTGCTCTAGTGCTATGCAACAAATCACCCCCAACATTTTAGCAGCTCACAAAACAACAGTTGATTTTGCTCATGAATCTGCAATTTGGTCAGAAGTTGGTAGGGACATCTTTGTTCCCCATGGAATCAACTGGAGTAGCCCAAGGGCTGAGGCTTGGAATCTCCAAAGGCTCCTTTGTCATATCTCAGGCCGTTGATGCTGAATGTCAGCTGGCTCCTTTCCATGGGCCCTGCTTGGGCATCCTTAGAGCAAGCTGGGCCCCAAGAACAAGCATTGCAAGAGGAAAAAGGGGAAACTATATCACTCTTGTAGCTGGGCTTCAGAAGTCACATGGTGTCACTTCCAACATAGTGACAAACCCACCCAGACTCAAGAAAATAGGCCACACATTTTAAGGGAAGGATATCAACCTGATGTCTTCATATACATAAGAGATGAGAGATCTCGTTATGTCTGTCTTATAGAATACAGCCTGCCACAGGGGTAGTCCCTGCCTCTTAAGACCCGAGTGCCCCAAATTTCTAGCAACCACTTGACTATCTTGTACGTTTTGTTTCTCTGAGTGAAGAACAGAGGTATCATACGTGAAAAAGGACTTAAATCTTCCTGGGGAAGCCAGGGAAGGCTTCAAAGAGGAGAATTTATCTGATATTGGAGAATAAGGAATATGCTGGATGGGCAGGGAAGGGGGCAGGTAGGCTGACAGAACAATGTGTTCGAACACTAAAAAAGCAAGAGTAGACCTATTTGGTAAATCCATTTGCAGCTGTGGGTTTGCTCCAGTCCTCAGAAGCAGAGCTTGGGAGCTGCGGTATGGGAGGGAAGCTGGAAGATCATTCTAGAAGCACAGTACTGAAGCTGCCTTTGCAGGGCAGGCACACAGTTTTTGCCTAGTTTGGGTCATTAGGCAGTAGTGGATTTTGTTTTTTCGGGGTAGGTATGAGGGACAACTGGTGTAGATTTGGGGGCCTAGACTCAGGTACTCTGTCTAGGACAGCCTTCTGGAGGGGGAATGCCTTGTATTTGAAACCCCAGTACCTACAACAGTGAGTACCTGATATACGACAGCGGAATAAAAATTATGAACAATTATTTATGGAACAAAAACTTCAGGGAGCGGCAGTGGGTAGAGAGCTGGTCATCCTGGGCCCACATGATCTCTCACTAACTGTTCTTGTAACCGTAAGGTAGGGCCTATCCTTTCCTGGGGGCATTCATTTATGATCTGAGGTCTCATGAAAACCCTCAAATAAACAAGAATAGAAAGTGATGTCAGAAGAAGAGGTTTTTTTCTGGAACCAGCCTCATGACCCTTTCTGGAGTCAGTTATTTCTACCAGTCCCCTGACTGGACCTTGCTGAAAGTCACTGCATGATTTCCCTCCCTGGATCGTACAGGGGACCAGGGAGATGGATTCTTAGGAGCCTGCAGAAAATCCAAACCCCACATCACTTCTGCTCCCAGGGCATGGAGGCATGTTGGGCACTAGCCTTTGTCATGACAATGAGGTCGAGCTTGCAGTGGGAAAAATCCTGGGGGCAAGAGAGACATGCAGGAGACTGAGGAAGGCAGGGCAAGAAAGGAGCGGCGAGGGCAGGCAGTGCCAGGAGGGGAGAGGGAAACCAAGCGTTTCTGAGTCCTCGCACGGCATGGAGGCAGGTAATCTATAAATCTAATTTCAGCCTTACTCCCGAACCCTGGAGCATAGCAACATTAATTGATGTATCTGCTGCTTGATAAAATCGAAAAATAGGTCATCAGTTCAGTTCTACAGGGTCCATCTTCTGGGAAGTGGGATAATTTTAGGATTGCTACTCGGAGAAGAAAGGAAAAGGGTTAGTCCTCAATTCGTGCAGCTGTTTCTATCCTTCTCACTCCTCCCTTCCCATCGGGTGTAGCCTCTTTGGAAAGTGGCTGCAGCTCTGGCCCTGGGTCAAGGTCTGAGAGGTCGTGGGCATGGGGATGCAGTCGGCACTTGAGACATAGCTTCTCCTAGTCCACTCACTGTTCCTGTCCCACTGCAGCACTCAGAAACCCCCACACTCTGGAGGATTGAAAGCTCCATTATTCCATCATTTTTTAACCACACATCCAGAAGATAGTTCATTATTTGCATTATTTGAAATGACCAAGCCATGGGTTATATAGTATACAAATTTATAATTAAATATTTCCTTCTTGGCACTCAAACCTGAGGGATTCAATCTGGTGGGTCTCCCTAATCTGGGGAACAATTCCCAAAGCTCTGATCAATGTCCCACATCTTAGCTAAGTGACCAACATGCTCCATAAAGACTTTTTGTCCAAAGCTTGCCTTAGAGTTGCTACTAGTTCATTCATAGATGGCTATACCAGGAAGACCCTTGGAAGCCACTGAATAATGTCAACCAGGGGCACTTCTCCTCAGGGAAGCTCATTCCTCGGCTGAAGCTGGAAGACAGCAGCCCAGGTGTCAGGAAGAGAACTCCAGATCAGAAGTCCTGAGACCAAGTTCTGCGTGGCTTGTGCCATGAGTCACCCCGTGGCCTCAAGCAAACCTGTTAACTCAATTTCCCAGTCTATGAACTAAAGGCATTGAGCTGGATGAGCTTGAAAGGTTCCTTTCAGTTAAAAAAAAATCTATGATTCATTTTCTTCAAACAAATCAAATAAGGGTTTCATTTCCTGAAGTGGATTTGTCAATGAAAGTTGAAATACCTAAATCCTTCCTGTCTAATATAAGGGCCAGCAAGTGGCTTCAGTGCATTTGCAGAAAAGCAATTTCAGCAGAAAGCACTTCATGAAGGGAAGAAAGTTTAAATCACTTCACCCAGGCCAATATTTCTTCTCTGCACTATGTTTTTACCATGTACTCAGCATGGAGCCGTGTTCTTTCCCGAAGTCACTAAGAAGGGAGTTGTTTGTTTTATTCTGTCTTGTTTATCTTTATATGCTGCTGTTCAGATCTCTGGAAGTTCTTCTTGGGGGGGGGGTTATACCAATCAACCGGGCATCAAACAGTTGAACGTGTCAGAAAAATCTTAATCTGCTTTTATCTTTAAGTTTCATCAAGGTTGTGAGTTCAGCAGACACAACCTTGCCTTTCTTGATACGTGGTTTCCTTGCATATCCTGAAGAAAATGTGTTGCCCATTGCAGAGTCAGCATATTCTGATGGAAAAGGGCTGGACAGGAGTTAGAGGACCCAGATAAAGGTAGCAGCATTAATCTATCATGGCTGTTCTCCCAGTGAAGTTTATAGTCAGCCTTCCCCTCCACGCAGGGTTTGAGGCAGCCATCACCAGTTGATCAGAAAGGGACTATATGGGGGGAAGCAATTTGCCATTCCAGGAGTGGATTACTGTTACTATGTATAATTCAAAACCTCATAGAATGATTTAAGGCTGATCACGTAAGCTTTCTGGACCTCCTTTATGGATTTCATCTAGGAAAACATTATAATATTGCCTGCTTTGCCTACTTACAGGAGCAGTTTTAAGGAGATATATTCATATTCTATGAAGTATGACTTGCCATTCACAAATCAGATAATAGAAATCATTGTTGATTAATTGGTGAAATCACTAGGCCTGCATCATTAGGTCTCAATCATCTACTGCAATGGCAGGTGCCTACCTGTTACCTGCTGAGCTCAGAATGTGCCATTTCCCAAAGGCAGTGATGCCAGGATGTCTCCCCTACTCACTCAGAAAGCCATGAGGAACCCAGAGTCCTGGCCTGTGGTGTCCTCAGTCTCTCTCACCATCCACTTCAGAGGTATAGACCAGAACTGATTTGTGAGACATTACTAAGGTCTTGCTGATAGTAGCAGGTTCATTGCTGCCATCTGAGTATCCACAGGGCATGAAGCTAGCCCTTTTACATGTATTATCTTATTTAACTTCATCAGATCTGTATGAAAAATGGACACTATGCTCTTATGGAAGTCACTGCTCTGGAGGTTAAACAACTCACCCAGCCTCACACAGTCAGTGAGCAGCACAGCCTGGATCCAAACCGGGTCTGTCCGGCTCCAATGCCCAGACCTTTAACCACTTCTTGGTCTTTGTTGACTATCTAAAGATGACTGATCTACACTTTAAAACAAATTAGATAATAAAGTAGCTCTGTTCTGGCTTAAGACAGAAACAGACAGGTTGCTGAATGCACTTTCCACATTGCTCTTCTCAAAGTTGTTTTCAGCCAGTGCCCTCATCAAATGCCAGCTCTTTTGGGAAGAGATTCTGTAAGTGCAGACATCCTCGTTGTTGCCTACTTACAGAGAGAAAATAACAAACCTAATCGAAAAAACATAACTGTGTTATTTGCAGCTGAGATACATTTTTTTTTAATATGCAGAAGTTGCATGACAATTTTCTGAGGAGGCAAATCCTTAGAGACCTACTTGGAGAAAATACATAATGCTAGTGACAAGCTGGCTAACTTTATGGAAGGTGTTGATCAAAGTGCATTAGTGAAAAGAAGGACTTGCATCACTCACTGTACATCCAGCTCTCACAGATGGGCAACATGTGCTGAAAAATCAGTCAGACTTTCCAAAAAAGCAGCTCTGCACTTTCTTCTGGAGTTGCTTAGAAGAAAATGCCATGGAGAAATCACCCAACCAATCTCTGGGACAGATTAGGAGGTGGGTTAAAGCTTTGAGTTCGAAACACCCTGGAACATGGAGTGTGCCAAACCCCATGTGTTTTGGGGGCTGTCCCTCAACAGGATTCTCCAGAAGGAGCAGGGAGAGTCAGGATATTCCACTTCTTCCATTGATCAGGGGGTACAACCCTGGAACATGGATCCAGGCTTGCAATCTTGCACAAGAAAGTCTTCAACAATTCATGCTGTCATTACTGGATATTCTGGTTGTCATTTTTAACTAATAAATAGTATTGTTATAACAGATTTTATCTGACTTTTGCATAGGAAATGCTTTTGCAGGAGCACATGCATAAACAACCTATCTCACGCATGTTTAAGGGAGATAGTCAGGGTATCGTGTAATATCTCACATGTGTAGGTACTCGATGGACAGCTCCTGGCTCTGTCTGTGCTTTCTGCATTTCACGTGAGGACTCTCAGGCTGCCTTGCCCAGAGCCTGTGTTTAGTAGTTAATACAAACTAGATCCCAGAAACACAAAATAGATCCTTCCTCCTCCTACCTCTCCTGCAATCAGAGGAGTCCAATGACTGGGCTGTGCTCTACTTATAGCATACAACTCTTGGCCCTTTGAGGTGCAGTGGGGCTGGACTAGACAGGAAACTATGGGCTTGGCAGCATGGCCCAGGACCCACCAATTTACTGGTGTGTATAGAGCCAAGACCAGGAGCTTTGTGGACCTAAGAGGAAGGCACAGGCTCACTGGCTGAAGAGTCTCTCATCTAATGAGAGGGAGGGAATCTATTGAAGAAATTGTGAGCCACCTATGATTGGAGAGGGGGGCACACTGAGGGTTGTTACAAGCACGACACCAACAGCTCCTACTCGCTAGGAAGCCTACCTGTGCCAGACACTGGGTGTGAGCTTCTCCTACCCCACTGATTCCCAGGTGGTAGGTGTGGCTATCCCAGTGTGAAGGCCGACAGCCCAGGGATTACCCAGGGAAGGTGCCTTAAACATTTGATTTTAGAAATAGGAAGAGATGTATTAGTCTTTCATTCAGCTTATGTTTTTGAGATTTCTCCATCTACCCTAAAGTTTTCAGCACTAACAATACTGTGGTAACCACAAGTGACAAGGTTCTTATCCTCAAAGAGCTTAGGGTGAGGCCACCAGACAGACAGATACCCAGATGCACGTGTGCGCACACACACACAATTCCAACTTGTGATGTGTGCTAAGAAGAAAAATAAGAGCATGTACTTAATGGCAGTAGTCAGACAGTGCTAATCATATTTGAGGGAGAGACATAAGGAAGGGACATTTAGGGATATTGTCTCTAAGGAAGTGACATTTAAGGGAGAAACTGAGCAGAAAGTAGTGGGGGAAATCCAGCAGGAATAGTATGTGTAAGGGCCCTAAGGCAGGAAGAGCTTGTCTTGAGGACACTTGGAAAGGTTGCCAGTCACTGTGGCTCTAGCACAGGAGCGAGGGATGCAGTGGCCTAAGGCAGCAGCTAATCCCACGGGGTCTTGAGGGCCATGCTAAGGAGTTAGGAGATTTTCTTTAATGCAATGGGAGGCTATTAGAGAGTTTTAAACTAGGGAGTGACATGGCCTGATTTATGTCTTTAAAAGATGGCTCTGGCTGGAGAGAATGGATTGTAAGGGGTTGGGGGGGACTGTTATAGGCGATGGATGATGGTGACTTGGTTGGAGTGGTGGCAGTAGAGATGGAGAAAAGTGGATAGGGTTGAGATGTAATTTGGAGGTGAAATTGACAGGGTTTGGCAAGGAGAAGACAACAGAGCATTCAAGGAGAAGGATGGAGATGGCGGTGGGAGGGAGGAGGGCAGCAGTGAGAGGCTTGACTGGCACAGATGGAGACTGACAAGCAGGGGGCCACAGCACCTCTGCCTCATATTGAGCCCATATTGATCCCAGTGCCCTTTGTGTCTCATTGCAGCAGAATGACGGGCAGTTCACAGTGATCCAGCTGGTGGGTATGCTCAGGGGCATTGCCGCTGGCATGAAGTACCTGGCCGAGATGAACTACGTGCACCGGGACCTGGCTGCTAGGAACATTCTGGTCAACAGTAACCTGGTGTGCAAGGTGTCTGACTTTGGCCTGTCCCGCTACCTCCAGGATGACACCTCAGACCCCACTTACACCAGCTCCTTGGTGAGTCCTTCCTGGTCTTCTGAGGTGGAAGTGTGGCAGGTGTGAGAGGTGGCTGCACAAGGCTGGGGAGCTGTGGCAGGGCATCGCGTGGAACTGGGGCCTGAACTGATCTCTTCACTGGGGGAGGACAGTCCATCCTGGAGAGGCAATGGCAGCTGCTTTTGCAGACAAGCAAGCATTTGCATATAGGCTGTGAGGAAGTGTCAGTTTCTACTCTGAAGGCTTACTATTCCCTGGCTAGCAGGAAGAGGAAATTTTGGAACAGATGATTTGGGGGAGTCCAAACAGGTGGACAGTAGCATCTGCCCTTGGCACCTGGGCACGGGCCAGGCTTGCTTCAGGTCTTCCCTCTCCAGTTGGGTGGGCACTGTCACCAAGGTAGACCCATGGTCCCCTTCTCTTCTCCCTCTACATTGCTTCCAGATAGCTGTAAGTACCATATAGATATGAGCACTCTTAAATTAGTATTTCCTGCTCAGCCTCCCCCTCCACACCCTGAGCAGCTCTAATCATCTCTATCCAACTGCCTAGTTCACACAATTCCATTCAGAACTTTAACAAGCCCAAAATAGAGCTCTGGATTTACTCTCCAATATCCCCTCCCCAGTCTTTCCATCTCAGTACTTGGCGCTACTTAATTAAAGACAGAATCCTCAGAATCGGGATTGAGTCCTTGATTCCTCCCCCGCCCCTCCGTGTCCATCCTTTCAGCAACCCCTATAAGTTCCCATGAAATCTATCCCTCTCTTCCATCTCTACTGCCAAGACCCTGTTCCAAAGCACCATTCTCCTCTCCCAGATGGTTACAGTGGCTTCCTAACTGGTGTCCCTGGCTTCCTCTTGTCTCCAACAGCAACAGCATCCAATGTGATTGATCTACTGCTAACTTGCCTGCCTATCTGTCTTCTTTAAACTTACAAAATCAAAATCATGCATAGAAATACAAGGAAAAGAATAAGACTACAGTTCCCCTGAACAGGGTGGGTATACTTTCTCTTAAAGGGCCGGCCAGTAAATATTTTAGGCTCTGCTGGCCAAGTGGCAAAATAGAGAATATTATGCAGATAATTATGTGGCCATTTATGTGTATAACCCTTTTAAAAGGGATAAACATCATTCTTACCTCATGGGCTATAAAGAAGTGACCAGTTAGGTTTGGGGCTCAGGCTATTGTTTACCTGCACCTTGGCTGAAGCATCACATTCACCAGTTACGTTGTGAATCCTTTTACATTTTTCTCTTCATTCGAACAGTTGAAACTTTTTAATCTGTAAAATGGGGACCCTGCTGTGCCTGTTCCTCTGCATTATGGTGTGTCTCTTAGGCATTCTTCCTGCCAGATTGCCTTTCCGAAAGTTTGTAAACACTCACCCTCCACCAGGAACCTATGATGCCTGTCTTCAGCATCCTCACCAGCGCAGGAGGTGATCAATCTTTTAAAATTTGCTAATCTAAGAATGAAAAATGATACCTCGTTTTATTTTAATTTGCATGTTCAACTGGCTGCTGGTGATATTAATGCCTTTTCACAGTGTCGCAGGAATTCGTGTTTCCTCTTCTATGGATTGTCTATACGTGTCCTTCCCTATTTTTAGTGGATTGTTCGTTGGTTTCTTGGAAACGTATGGGAAGTCTCTTTCTATCAGGGATGTTATCCCTTTGCCTGCCATACATGATATCATTCATCTTTCGCCCCATCTGCTGTTCTTTTATGTTGCTTGTGATATCCTCTGGCTTGAAAAGTAGTTGATATTCATGTAATATTTATCTATTCCTCTACATCTTGAATTTCCTGGTTTGTTTTAAAAGTTCTTTTCATTTCAAGGTTATAAAATATTTCTTTTTTTTATTAAATATAGCTGTATACATTAATGCAATCATGGGGTACAATGTGCTGGTTTTATATATAATTTGAAATGTTTTCATCAAACTGGTTAACATAGCCTTCACAGCATTTTCTTATGACAGCTATAACCCAATTATAGCCCAAAAAGAAGGAGAAAGGGGAGAGGGAGGGGAGGGGAGGGGGGAGGATGGGGGGAGGGAGGATAATTGGTGGGACCACACCTGCGGTGCATCTTACAAAGGTACATGTGAAATTTCCTAGGTGTAGAATATAAATGTCTTAACGCGTATAAAATATTTCTTCAAGTTTCCTATACTATCTTATTGTGGAGAGGGTTTGTTCTATATTTGAATATTTAGTACCCTAAAATTTACTTATCTTTTCTAACACTTTATTTTGGAAATTTTCAGGAACACATAGACCTCGATAGATTTTGATAGAGAATAGCCACATAACCACCTCCTAAATTCTAGAATTAAAATCTTGCTACATTTGCTGCATCATGTAACTGTCCACCTATCCATCCATCTGTTCATCCATCACTCCATCTAGTTTTTCAAGATACAGAACGTGGCCATCGATCTAGGAAGTCCTCTAACCTGTCCTTCCCCTTTCCATTCTCATCCCCATCCTTACTCAGAGGCTACCATTGTGAAATTTTCTTTTCTATCGCAGGTTTGTTTTCTAACTTATCTAAGTGTAATCAGACAGCATCTGCCCTTTGTGTCTGGTTACTTTCACTTAGCATAAC